ATGTAAAAAATAATAAATAATATTTACATCTTCCTTGTGATCTATGCAGTTGCTAGGATTAGCATAATCAAGTAATATTTATTTATCCAGGACATACACTTTTTATCTATATAGTAATATATGAAATGAACACATATTTTCAAATGTGTCATTTTACTGTGATATAGCGATGATACATTGGGTAAAGACTATGAAAATGAATGCAAGGAATTATAATAATGCACAAGTCTTGTTAAGACATTTTGTTACAAGGGAAGACGTCCCAATGTGTATGTCTTTAGTGAATGCAATCTTCAGGATCTCTTATGCATATTAAAGGCTGTGGCCCTAGGGATTGAATTCCCATATTCAGTTAAGACATTTCTAGCGCACACGTGGCCCCAGTGCTTATGCCTCTACTGATATAAAATTTAGGATTTTACAGGTATTACATATTACTGGTTGTAAATTAACATTTAAGTTTAGGATTGTTAACTCTAGGTTCATACATGCTTGACTTGAGGAAGACCATGAGCGGATTGAAACTGTTTGTGAAGTTGGGAAACATGAATTTGTAGATTTTGAAAGAAATTAAATAAATCACTTGAGAGAATTACTATTGTGGCCTATTTTCTATATATATACAGGATATATATATATATATATATATATATATATATAGATAGATAGATATCTATATATATCTATATAAATATATACAGTTGCAAGAAAAAGTATGTGAACCCCTTGGGATTACGTGGAGTTTTGCATGAATTGGGCATAAAATGTGCTCTGAACGTTATCTAAGTCACAACAATAGAAGAACACAGTCTGCTGAACATAATACTACACAAACATTAGATGTTGCCATGGTTTAATTGCACATAACATGTAAACATTCACAGTGCAGGGAGGAAAAAGTATGTGAGGCCCTAGCTTAATGACTTCTCCCAGAGCTAATTGGAGCCAGGAGTGAGCCAACCTTGACTCCAATCAGTGTGATGATATTGGATGTGTTGCTGACAGCTGTCCTGCCCTTAAAAAACACACACCTGTTTTGGGTTTACTGCTTTCAAGAAGCACTGTCTGATGTGAACCATGCCTCGCAGAAAAGAGCTCTCAGAAGACCTACGATCAAGAATTGTTGACTTGCATGAAGCTGGAAAGGGTTACAAAAGTATCTCCAAAAGCCTTGATGTTCATGTGTCCACGGTAAGACAGGCTGTCTAGAAATGGAGAAAGTTTAGCACTGTTGCTACTCTCCCTAGGCGTGGTCGTCCTGTAAAAATGACTGCAAGAGCACAGCGCAGAATGCTGCATGAGGTAAAGAAGAATCCCAGAGTGTCAGCTAAAGACCTACAGAAATCTCTGGCACATGCTAACATTTTTGTTGACACATCTACAATAAGGAAAACATTAAACAAGAATGGAGTACATGGGAGGACACCACGGAGGAAGCCATTGCTGTCCAAAAAGAATATTGCAGCACGTTTGAAGTTTGCAAAAGAGCACCTGGATGTTCCACAGCACTACTGGCAAAATATACTGTGGACAGATGAAACCAAGATTGAGTTGTTTGGGAAGAACACACAACACTATGTGTGGAGAAAAAAAGGCACAGCACACCAACATCAAAACCTCATCCCCACTGTAAAACATGGCGGAGGGAGCATCATGGTTTGGGGCTACTTTGCTGCCTCAGGGCCTGGACGGATTGTTGTCATTGATGGGAAAATGAATTCCAGAGTTTATCAAGACATTTTGCAGGAAAACGTACGACCATCGGTCCGCCAACTGAAGCTCCGCAGAGGATGGGTGATGCAACAGGACAATGACCCAAAGCATACAAGTAATTCAACAAAACAATGGCTGCAACAGCACAGAATACGCCTTCTGGAGTGGCCCAGTCAGAGTCCTGACCTCAACCCGATTGAAATGCTGTGGCATGACCTTAAGAGAGCGATTCACACCAGACATCCCAAGAATATTGCTACACTGAAACAGTTTTGTGAAGAGGAGTGGTCCAAAATGACTCCAGATCGTTGTGCAGGTCTGATCTGCAACTACAAGAAACGTTTGGTTGAGGTTATTGTTGCCAAAGGAGGGTCAACCAGTTATTAAGTCCAAAGGTTCACATACTTTTTCCTCCCTGCACTGTGAATGTTTACATGTTATGTGCAATTAAACCATGGCAACATCTAATGTTTGTGTAGTATTTTGTTCAGCAGACTGTGTTCTTCTATTGTTGTGACTTAGATGACGTTCAGAGCACAATTTTATGCCCAATTCATGCAAAACTCCACGTAATCCCAAGGGGTTCACATACTTTTTCTTGCAACTGCATATCTTAAAGACAGAATTTTCATGTGGAAAAATCCATTATTGTGATGCAACAGTTATTTTTTTGAGAAAATTATGGAACTTTGTGTGGCCAGTATAGCGGTGTTGAACCCAAAACCAAAAATGTAATATATTAGCAATTATTAGATTTGGTGGCTGATTTAGTTTTTTTCATAGTTTTTTTTCCCTCTGTTGTCCCCTGCTGATCTGGCCAGTAACACACCTCCTGTATTAGATTGCCCCCACTCTAATACAGGAGGTGTGTTACTGGCCAGGAGCGCAGGGGTACATGTGGACAGTAGCATGGTCAGTTTGGTTGGAGGGGAGTGTTAGATGTACTAGCAGATTTAAATACACTAACAAAACGAAGCTGAACTCCAGCTCACATTTCATAAGCAGTTAGAGAAATCTGTTCCTTTGTGGTAAAGTTTTTACATAAATAAATACAGGTTCGTCATTGTAAGCAAACCTGCCAGTGTTGAATGGTTTGTCTCATTCATGTAACTAATAATATATCTGCAAGAGAGCTTGTTATGTTGAAAAACAGTGGACTTACTGGCCAGATCACCAGGTAAAAATTAGAGAAAGAGAGCCTACAAAAGAAAACTAATGTATCCATCACATCTAAGAATTGGTAAGCTGAAGTATAACAATAGTTTGCTGTTGGGTTTATTACCGCTTTAAATCTTTTAATTCTGGACCAATCAGACTTTGAGTTGGAAGAAATAATTATGTATACTGTTGTGAATATTTAAAGCTTCTTCCCAATTGGATAAAACTGAATTGTTGATTTTTTTTTTTTTTTGCTTTGCTTTTATGCATATAATTTTAATTAGGAAATAATAAAGCATTTGTAAGTGCAGTTGCTCCAGAGCTTAGTCCGCTGACTTCCATCATCCAATCACATACAAGCAAAAGTGCTGTTGTTTTATTTTCCTTGCATGTGATTGGTGATTCTTGCAAAGTGAAGCTTCACCTCGTTTACATAAGCTGTTGGAGCAACTGCACTTGAAAAGACTCTGAATGGATTTCCACCATTTCCCACTCCATCCAAAACAAAAATAAAATAAAGCATCAAGGGTCATAGCAGTCACAATGCTGACTAGGTTCCAAAGGCCCATAAAAATACTTTGTGCACAATCAGGGGAGGACTGACAACTCATGGGGCCTCTGGCAATAGGGGATCATGGGGCCCCTGTGTCCTTGCCCAAACTCAAAAAAGCCTATGAAAAAGGTACCAGGGGCATCTCATGGGGCCCCCTACTGACCCCGGGCCCTCGGGCAATGCCTGAGTTTCCAAATGGTCAGTCCGCCCCTGTGCACAATGCACCCCTTTGAACCCAAACACCCCTAATGTTCAAGCTACTCTGCATCCCATCCTCTGGATCCTTTTCTATCCACAGTTAAAAAATGTCAAAGGGTAGCCAGAAGAGCAGAGATGCAATAAAGAGGTTATTATGATTTGTATATTTTGACGCTTGATGCCGCCCTCCCCAAGTGTGCTGTTCTAAGCAGCGGACCACAAGTTTTGGTAATTGAAAACCTAATTAGGAGCATTTATCTCTAGTATTATTATACTTCTAGTATCATTGGAAAGCTTCTCTTCACACTGTCTTAAAGATAAACATCAAACATATATAACATACACAAATTAAAGTGTTACTAAACCCCGGACCCTGCATTCACTATATCTGGTGCCCCATGACCCTGCATTCACTATATCCGGTCTTCCACAGTACACAGAACATGTAAATGCAATTATTTTAGTAAATATAAACTGCTAAATACCTTTTCTCATCAGCAGTTAGAACAGTCTTGTGACTTCTATCAGTGTCCAGCAGAGCACTGGTTAACACTTGTAGGAGGAGTTTTATTTTTTCTCTAGGAGGATTCAGAACCCCTGACCTCTGTCCGGAGAGTGTTGATTGGCCCTGTGCTGATCACATGCACTCTCCCAAGAAAAAAAAACCTCTCTAGCAATACTCACAAAACTGAGTATGTGCAGAGTGTCTCCACACAATATTTCCTATCAGGCGATAAGAGGGGGACACTGGAAGAAAGGGAAGATCAGAGAAGTCAGGATCAAACAGCATTTTCACACAATGCAGAGGATTAACCCCTTAGGTTCCACAATGAGTATATCAAGCATGCTTTATAGTTTTTTTTTACTGTTGTGGGTTTAGTACCACTTAAATGCAGCCCTGTATTCCTCATCATTCATCATTATAGTGTTACTAAACCCACAACAGTAAAATCAGTTTGTATATGTAGTAAAGTATGCTTGTTATACTCACTGTGGAACCTAAGGGGTTAATCCTCTGCATTGTGTAAAAAAGATGTTTGATCCTGACTTCTCTGCCCCTCCTCTTGTTGAAATGACCACCTGATACAGACTGAATCCATAGTCACATGCACATGCTCAGTTTGGTGTGTATTGCTAGAGAAGTTTTTTTGTTTCTTGGGAAAGTGCATGTGATCAGCACAGGGCCAATCAGCACTGTCCAGACAGAGGTCAGGACTTTCATATCCTCCTAGAGCAGAAAAAAAACTCCTCCTACAAGCTTTAACCAGTGCTTTGTTGAAGTCACAAAACTGCTATATACTGCTGATGAGAAAAGGTATTTAGCAGTTTATATTTACTAAACTAATTGCATTTCCATGTTCTGTGCACTGTGGGAGACCAGATATAGTGAATACAGGGTCCTAGGAGACCAGATATAGTGAATGCAGGGTCCTGGGAGACCAGATATAGTGAATGCAGGGTCCGGGGAGACCAGATATAGTGAATGCAGGGTCCTGGGAGACCAGATATAGTGAATGCAGGGTCCGGGGAGACCAGATATAGTGAATGCAGGGTCCAGGGAGACCAGATATAGTGAATGCGGGGTCCGGGGAGACCAGATATAGTGAATGCAGGGTCCGGGGAGACCAGATATAGTGAATGCAGGGTCTGGGTTTAGTAAAGGTATTTTTAAATGTAAGCAGTGTAAGTACCTTGTATCAGCTTCTATACAGCAGTGCTCACTCCAGGAGAGGAAGAAGCAGCACAAGGATATATTCAGTTGTGCTGCAATGCCTATGTGTTAACAAGGATCATGGGGGGGGGGATTTACTAAAACTGGAGCACTCCTATGTACATTTTTGAGGCATTTGGCAAGCATTAAAACCGCACCACAAACACCTATAATGAAGTTAAATGGCTCCGCAACCGCTTCACAACCACCTCGCAAACGCCCTGCAAACGCCTTCCAGGCGTTTGAGGAGCATCACCATAGACTTGAATGGGAGGCTTCAACACCTCCTGACTGTACATGATGCGCCAATTTTGCCGCGACGCTAACGCTTCAGTGTGAATAGCACTGTTTGCTGCCATGTGTAGAATTTTAATAACCGTTTGAGGAGCGTTAAAAACACTTCCCAAATGCCTGTCTAACACCTGCTAACAAAGCTAGTGTGAATATAGCCAACTGTAGCAGAGAAAAATGCGGTTTCCTGTCCTGCCAGGCAAGGCTTTGCTGTGTGGGAAAGCTGTATAAACCTCAGCAATGTATGAACTAAAATAATAAATCAACTTAAAATCTAGATCAGTACAACTTTAAAAACATGCCACCAAGAGATTATTTATAAGATAAATAATAAAACTTTTTTAATGTAAAAGACTGAAAAAAAAACAAGGCCTTACCCTATGAGAAAACGACTAATTTTCTCAACTGTTAATCTGTGAAATTAGCTGAAGTGGTTGCATTGTTTAGCAGCTTCTGGGATAAGATTTGACCACTATGACCGCATATAATTTATACGTCTGTGCATCCAAATCAATTTAGTGTTCTAGAATTTAGTGTTTTAGAATGAGAAATATTGCTTCCATTTTATTTATATTTGATGGTTTGATGCTTAGATTTCAACCCATCCGGTATTCCCCCTTTATTAATATATCAAAGTAAGATCTTCGTCTTTCAGACCTTAGGTGAGACATTCACTGTTAATTTATGTAGTGATTATTACCCTGTCATTGCAGTCCTATCCTTCTAATGAATGACTATGCATTAATTAATTAAACTGATATTGCCACTAATACATTTTAACTAATGTAAACAACATACTTTCCACAGCTAATTAATATGCTTAGAAGCCTAATTAAGAGCGGCTCATTAGTGTAGCAAAACAATTCTTAATGCTAATTAGTAATACACCTCCTGATAGACCACTATGTAAATCCACTAATTGCATGAGCAAAAAATGCTGCTTCCATTCTCATATCCAAAACTGCTTGGTTGTATTCAGAAAAGAAAGCAGTCAATTTACAGCCCACCGTCCAATCTCTAGATACATTCTAGGTTCTGGATTCTAGATCTACTGCTTTGTTTTTTCAAGATGGGATCCAAACATATAAGAATAAACAATCTGAACGGGTTTATTACATATTCTGTTTATGGCTGGATTTGCAGGCAGGCCATGCATGGCAAGGGTGTTTAAAAAGGAGCTTGCCACTAATACCACTAGGCAGGGCTAGCTCTAGCCTGGCTGAAGTGGGGGTGCAGTACAAAATGTCAGAGGATTGGAGGCCAGCAGGACGGTGTACAGGTGGTCAGCAGGGCAGTGGATAGGGCCAGCAGTTTGAAGGGCAGTGCACAGGGGCTATTAGTTTGTAGGACAGTGTACAGGGCAGGGGCGGACTGACTATTTGGAAACTCGGGCATTGCCCAAGGGCCCGGGGTCAGTAGGGGGCCCCATAAGATGCCCCTGGTACCTTTTTCATAGGTTTTTTTGAGTTTGGGCAAGGACACAGGGGCCCCATGATTCCTTATTGCCCGGGGGCCCCATGAGTTGTCAGTACAGGGTATCAGCATTGAAGAGAACACAGATTAGCAGGGTAGAGGATAGGGAGGACAGGAGGTCGGCATGGGAGTGTACAGGAAACAGGCGGTGTATCTGGGTTCTGTAGGGCAGAGAACAGGGGTCAGAAGAGCTGCGGATAGGGGTGAGTAGAGCCAAGGATAGGGGTCAACTGAGCCAAGGACAGGGGTCACTGATGGCAGGGCACTGGGCAGAGCCAGCACAATGTCAGGAGTATTGGCAGGGCTTTGGGGGGGAGGGCGCAACTGATATCTGGGGTGGCGCAACCCACCCCAACACCCCCCTAGATCCAGCAATGCTACTAGGCAATATCCACCCCTACCACTTGTAGGAACAAAAGAATAAACTTTAGAATATTATTTTATTATTATTTTATTTCAGGTACTTATATAGCGCCATCAATTTACACAGCGCTTTACAGATATTGTACATTCACATCAGTCCCTAACCCTCAAGGGGTGTACAATCTAAGGTCCCTAACTCACATTCATACATACACATACTATGGACAATTTATACAGGATCCAATTAACCTACCTGCATGTCTTTGGAGTGTGGGAGGAAACCAGAGTATCCGGAGGAAACCCACGCAGGCACAGGGAGAACATGCAAACTCCAGGCATGTGGTGCCGTGGTTGGGAATACTCCGGCTATGCCATTTGTGGACAGAGCCCAGCACATCCATGCACTGGGAGTATCTTTGCCAGATGCCTGGGACCAAATGGGAACTGCATTCCTATAACAGTCTGACATTAAGGAAGTCTCCTGACTCAGAGATGAGCAGACATTGAAAGTAGTATGAAGCCATTTGAACAATGATGGTAAAGGTCTTATGCGTTGCCACACAACCAAATAAAAAACCTACACTACAAATAAAGGCAAACAAATCAAGAAAGCAGCAAGCACTCGTAAGGTGTTCCACCACTATAAAGAATAAAGGAAGGAGAAAATAGTGCTGTGCTAACAAGCAAGATAATAATAATAATATTAATAAGTATCAACAGTAAGAATAAATAAATAAATAACGTCCTCAAAAAATAAACAGAAATAAATACAGTGGCAGTGTATATTACACTATAATAACTGGTGTAAATGAAGTCCACACAAACAGAAAAAAACACCCCCCATCACTTGGTATATAACGTATTAGACCAATAACATACAGTGGATGAAATAAATATAGTGAAATTCATTTACCATGAATAAAGTGCCAAGGTAACAGTCCATACAGGTGAATAGCAAACAAAAACGTGACTCTTCTCCTTTACTGTGCTTGTGTGATATCCACCATCACCAGGTATGCACTCTCACCTCACCAATTGATCCACATCACATAGGTCCAAGCAGCAATAATCCTTGATGTTTCCTGGTCACTGGGAGCTCCACATCATCAAAATCAGTACAGCACGTATCATAAATAAGTAAACAATAAAGAGGGGCTCCTCATAGTGCAGTAAAGTTATTTTTAATTAAAAAAACATAAAAAGCAAAAGAAATGCACTCACAAGGGAAAAGGGCTGCAAATGCCCTCAAACAGCATGGTATTTTGGTAAACAAAGATGGCGGCGATCATAACTGGAAATTACATCACCACACTTCTGTCCGCCGCGCTGCGTCATGCATCATGTTACTTCATCAGGGATAGCTCCTCTAAGAGCTGTCCCATTGCTCTACTCCTAGTGTGTTACATGTGGTGCATTCAGAATGATGGGCTGAACCATGTCAATCCACCAGTCAGCACCCCTCCGCTATTTCACTCCCAGTAACAAAATGAACCCCACTAGACACCAAGCGCTGGTCTTATATCTGTCCTGTGTTAACTCCTTTCATTCCATACCTATTAGTCAGGATAGGGCCCTCTGTAACACTTGTCTGCTCCCTGTTGCTATGGAAGATGGACCACTGGTAAGGGAACCCAACTGGTGTACCCTCACTAACAGAGGACACCCTGCTTTTCCAAGGTACCACACCTCAGCTGTTGCCTGTACCTCTGCAACTTGATGTGACTGCCCTTAGCATCAACCTTGTTCACCATTAAAGTGCAGCTTGCTTATACTCTAGTACTGTATACTTCATACCCCTTAGTGGTATTGTAGGCCCATGTTCTTTGTATACGCCATGTCCATTATGCACCCCTTTAGGGATAACTTCAGACTAGGCTCAGGAAAAAGTTAACAGTCTTTACACTTCTTAGTACAAACATGATACAGAATAAATTGCAAACAGTTCCTTAATAACCCTAACTAACTATAGAACTGCCCAGGCATACCTTGCAATTATGTTAGAGTCCATTTATGGTTGTAAGTCTGTGATTAGTGACATGGTCCATGGCTGGCAGTATCCTGGGATTCTTGGTATAGTTAATATTCTTTGGTAGTTGAGATCAGCAGCAGCTTCACATGTGACACAAATCCTAGACTCTAACCAACCGGTCCATTGCTGCTCTCAGGTCTCTCTTCCTCCAGTTTATATCACTGGTGGGCCAGCTGAACCCAAAAAGCCAGTAGCCAAGCTATAACCCTTCCCAACCCAGGCTAGAACCTAACTTGTTTAAGCAGGCTTCAACCTGATTACAGGGTTTTGAAGGCATGAGAAGAAAAAACACATAGCATATATTGTATGTTTGGCCAAAATTTGTCACTTGCTAGGCCTCCAGCCGCACTGCACCCCCCATTCATACATCAATCCTGGATCCTTAACAGCATGAGGAAAAAAAGAACACCCATCCAGAGCATTGTATCTGCAACCAAAAATTGTTATTTGCTAGGTTTCCAACTGCACTACACCACCCATTCGTACATCAATCCTGAGTCACAACAACTGGACCACACCAATGCAGGATGCCATATATTAGATTGGTCCCCAAGCCACTTTTTGGAGAAAAGAGCTCCTTCAAAGACTGCCAAACCACAAACTAGCTGCCATGACAGTCAAAAACAAAGAATAAACAGTAACTTTCAACAAAATGTATGGCAGAAGGGTGGGAAGCTCCTCGGATGCCGGTCAGCATGCCCTACTCCTCCCCACTCAGTCACTTCTTTACATTGGTGTTGGATGAGAAAAATTATTCCAGAAGTAATCAGCTATGAGCACTTTGGCGTTCAGACTTGTCAATGTCTCTGACAAGTTTAGAAGCTGATTGAGCACTGCTGTATTTTTTTACTGAAAATAAAGATTT